CACGTGATAGTGGACGTCACCGTTCTCATCGAGAAGAGTCGGTGGCGGGCGGTGACGAACGGGTCGACCGGGTCGACCGCCGCCCGGTGACTCGTGATGCTCTTCGAGCCCTTGATGACAAGGTCCTTCGTAATCGGAGCTCCGCTGAGCGTCATGCTGAAGTAGCATATCGCTGTGGGATCCGGCGCAAGTGAACGCGGAAGCGTTGGGGCCGGAGCGGATTCCACGGACTCGCGGCCACTTAGAAGTTGAACCAGCAACTGGTTCTGAGCACGGAGTGCAACTACCGCCATTTCCAATGGTGCCATGCGCTTTACCGTTGCCTGCAGCGATGCATTTGCCTGCTCCATGGCTAGGAGTCGCTCCGACAGAGAGCGGTAGTCTTCAAGGCGAGGCAACCGGCGCATGACGCGCTTTAAATCGTCAAGAGCGTCCGCACATACGGCTTGAGCAAGCCCACGTAAAACACCGGGTGGGTGCGCATCCATTTCGGAAGATTCGACGTGTACGCCAGGTCGCTTTTGGCCACAACCATAAACGGTGCGATAAACCGTGGACCAAGCTTCGTCCGGAAGACAACAGAGGCTGCATGTGTAGGCAGGTTTTTATAATCCAATAAAATGAGGTCCCCGACCTAAAGGCTTTCCACTTTGCCTCTTCCTTTTTCATCTGCATATTGTTTCTGCAGGCCTTGGCTCTCAGCCATCGCATCGCGAACGAGTCGTAGAACACTCAGTCTAGTAGACAGGAAGTCATCGACTTCTTTACGGATGGTGAGGGGGTTGACATCAGCTAGCCGTTCGGCTATCCCCCCCCACCAAGCCCTGAGCCGTGGGATGGCGGCGTCAGCGTGACGCGAGGGTGAACCAGCTCGCTCACGTAGAACGGCGTGCAGCCCGTAAATGAATGCACTGCATTCAGTGTAAACTCTACGAGTGGTAACATGGCGCTCCAGCGCCTCGGCGTCTCAGCGCAAACGCTGCAAAATCATCTTCGATGCCTTTCGGTTTGACCATCGGTCTGCGGATGATCCGCCGTCGACATATCTAACTTGGTACTGAGCACCTTGAAGATAGTCGTCCAAACATTTCCCTCGAAACGGGGGTCTCTATCAGAAACAATCGAATCTGGGAGTCCGTGTTGTCGAAAAACACGATCTACAAACAGCTTTGCTGTACCGACTCCGGCGATGGTGTCTGGCACCGCCGCCAAATGAGCCATCTTACTCAACCGGTCGACGAATACCACAACACCCTTGTTGCCCGCCGAATCTTTCGGCAGGCCAAACACAAAGTCCAAACTCATGGTCTGCCAGCACCCAGTGGGTACTGCTAAGCTGGCTAGAA